CACACTTTTCCTGATTTTAAACCATGTAGTATTCCATTATTCTGATTGCACAATTGCCTGTTGGTCCATGGACAAGTTCACATGAGCACAATGAAATGTTCTGGAATTCCCATTCTTCTCAAGGTAATCCACAGTTTACTATGATCCACATGGTCACATGCCATGGCATAGTTAATGAAACACAAGTAAACATCTTTCTGCTATTCTCATTTTCAGTCAAGAGTCCTGTGACAGCAGCAATGACATCCCTTGTTCCGCATCCTCTTCTGAATCTGGCCTGAACCTCTGGCAGCTCCTGTCAATGGACTACTGCAACCATTGTGGGATGATTTACAGTAATGTTTTACTTGAACGTGAGATCAGTGATATTGTTCTATAGTGTGAGCATCCTGTTGAGTCCTTTTTCTTTGAAATAGAGACAAGAGTGGATCTCTTTCAGTCAGTTAGTGAAGTAGCTGTCTTCCAAATGTTCTGCATGAGTGCTTCATCAGCTGTTCAAGCATTTCAATGGATAGGCCATCAATTCCTAGATCCTTGATTTTGGCAAATGCTTTTGGTGCAGCTTGAATATCTTCCTTGCGTTTTACCGGCTCTTACTCATATGTTCCCTCCTGAGATCGCCTCCTGAGATCGTGAGATGCTGACTAGTTCCTTTTGGTACAGTACCTCTGGGTTTCCTTTCCATTTTCTTTGAATGCTTCCTGCATCATTTAATATTTTGCTCATAGAATCTTTCGATATACAGGTTTGAAGTTTTTCATGATTTTCTTTCAGTTATGAGAAGATTTTAGTCTCTTGTGGCAGTAACTGAATTTTTTCTTTCTTTCCCATAGTTTTAATGACTATTTGCTTTCTTTATGAATGATGTTCTTGATATCCTTCCACAGATCATTAGTGTTCAATGCAGCAAATGTGTTCTTGAGATATTCTTCAAAATTCAGATATTCTTAAAAAATAGACTCAAGATCATATTTTGACTCCTGTGGACTTGTTTCCATTTTCTTCAGGTTTTGAGGGTCGATTCCACAGTCTTGCCTGGCCTGGTTTTGGGTGCTGATATTGAGATTCACCATCATCTCTTCCCACAGATGTCTCTTTCTGGACATGATCCTTTTTATTGATAAAAGTTCTATTTAGACTTTAAAATTTTTATATCTCTCTTCATCATGTTTATGTCTTCTTTGACTTTCTTGAACAGAGGTGTGGAATTTTTATAGTATATTACTATCTTTATTTGCTTTCACACATAGCATGCATGTCATGTGTTGTCTCTTTTGCATTATATTATTTTTACCCTGGTTATGAATCATGGTTTTTCTGCTTCCTTGTATGTCTAATAGTTTTTATCTTCATGAAAGATATTGTGAACCTTGCAATGTACATCCAGTCCTTTGACTTTATTATGTGCAGAAGCAGAATATAATTATGATTTGGCAAGTATTTTTTAAAGACTGAGAAAACAATCATTAAAGGGTTTGCTTCATATACAGATCTATATCTATATACTAGACATTATAATAAGAATATCTTAAAATAGACATTTTAAATGTAAGAGAAAATGTTCAGGTATAAAGCAAATTCTTCTTGTACTTCCATATAGTGTGTATTAGTTGACTAAAAACATACGGAAGTAAATAATAAAGATATTAATTCATTTTAAACAACTACTAAAATAAGATGACAATATTATGGGTTTTTACATATTTACCTCTTCTTCTAGAAGAGTTGTTGTTTAAAGCTCCCTGAAGCCCCCAGAAAAAGACCCAATTTCCCTCTTGTACTCTCATAACTCTTTGAATGTATCTTGTATATAATTTTTTCTTAACATATTTATATGTTTACAAGTTAAAATCTCCAACTAGACTATAAGCTTCTTGAGGATAAAACTTTTTGTTATTTACTATTGCAATCCCAGGTTTAATAAGAGCATTACACAATGTGATTGGTTAATGAATATTTAGAAGCAATGATGGATGAATAAAAAATGAAGGAATATTTCCAAAGATTATATAATTTTAAGAGTGGATTGTACTCAGATACGGTTAATTCACTGTGACTGGGCCATGTCTGACGGATAGTGACCCTATGGCACAGGGTGGAACTGCACCTGTGAGTCTCTGAGATTCTGACTCTTTACTAGCGTAGAAAACCCCATTGTTCTTCCTTGGGTTGGCTGCTGGTTTTGAACTACTGACCTTGGGCTTAGTAGGTCAACCCATAACCACTATGCCACCAGCTAGTATCCTACAATGAGCACATTCACCAAGTTTTAATTAGGACTCTTAGATATAGAATAAAAACCATAAGCAAACTATAATGACAATTATAGTATTGTCTATAACACTAAAACGTGATGGAACCTCAAAATAATTCAAACTTTTCTTTACTTGACTAGGGTAGATTGTAGCTGGGCTTAAAGATGTGAACAAAGAGCATTCTGCTTGATTTTGCTAGTCTAGTTAAAGGCAGTTATATTCTCTGTCCAAAAGTAGATACAGATTAAAAAGCATTTTAATGTAACTGACTGGTCATCCTCTATTTAAAACAAAGCAATCATACAACTGAACAAACAACAACAACCAAACATATCCCTCTTATCATGTCCCAATAGAGAAGATTTATATGCTAGGCCTCTACAGATTGATAATATTAATAGATTACGGTCATTCAACTTTGGAATGACATTATGTTCACTCAGTGATCCCATTGATTTTGTTTCCCATGCATATTTTCCGTGAAAAAATGTCTTGCTTCTCGTAGTGAAGGTCAACTAACCAAAAATAGTACTTTTACTATTCATGTTAAAAATGTAAATGATCATTGGGATATTTGGGGCAGAAGCAAAATGATTAACATTTAACTGGTAATGAAAACTTTAACAATTTACAGAAGGGAGTGGAATCAGAGAGTAAAATCAGTGTAACTAATGTAGAAAATTTATTCTAAATAAACTGAGAGAAATTAAACAGTTATTTCTCCTTTCCTCTCTTCTATTAAATTATTAAATATTTAATTAGCCCATTGGCAGAAAATAACAGTGTTTTTAATGGCCGCTATTAAGAAAAGTAGTAAGCAATTAAGCCTGCTGGGAATAAAGGGAAATAGCAGTTTCTTGTGGGGAAGGAGATTTTCAACTGTGGAAAAAAATTGTTTCAGATTTCAACCCACATGTAACCAGGTGACATTATTCATTCATTTAATAAAGGGTTGTATTCCTATACCTCTCCAAATAAGTCAAATAACACTAAAAGCTAATACTATATATCAAGTTTTGACATTTTGAAAGTAGTAATTTTTAAATTTATTATAATTGTATTAATAAATGTGATAATTGCAAAGATATGGTTGGCTAGATGTTCCAAGTTCTTATAGAATACTTACAAAACGATTTATGAAAGTTCTTTTTAGCCTCATAAGACTACTGAGGATTCATTTTCTAAATTACTGTATTGAGTTAGTTAATTGTGCCAGCCTGGCCGATAATCACATGTGGTGCTGGTTGAAAGGTGGAGGGATAAATGGGTGATGAAGCCTCGCCTTTCTAGTTCTCAGGTCTCTTGCTTTGTGATGGTCGCACCAGGATGCAGCTGCCTTAGCAGCTTCCTGCTTCAGCTTGCAAGATTGACATCCTATAAGACATCCCCAAGGAGAAGCCGCATGGACCTATCCCGATGCAGCCCTGGGTGCTGGAGCAGCCTTATGGAGACCCCTGCTAGTGCTGAGATGCTTGTTCGTTCATTGACTCAGCTTTCCTCCTGCAGTCGGCATCATTGCCTCTGTTTTGTGAGGTGAAGGACTTTGTGGACTGGTGTTGGGTATGGGTTAATGTTGGACTTGTGGGCTTGGGCTGCATTGGGTTGGGATGTTTTCATGATGCACATTTTCTTTGCATAAAACTCTCTCTTATATGTGAGTTGCTGTGGATTTGTTTCTCCAAAGTACCTAGACTAATACACTGTACTTAGCAAATTTTAACAAAGTCTGCTTCCCCAAAGCGAAGATGGTGCGGTGAACAAGCTGAGCCAACAAGAAGAGGTATGATGGATCCCTCCCCCTCTCTAGTTGGCTCAGAGCAGCAGCAGCAGCTGTTTCTTCTGTTGCGCAGGGTGTGAAGTGATCATTTACTTACCCTCCATGATGGTCAAAGGATCTTCCACTCTGGGTCTTAGAATATTTGGGCCAAAGACAGTTGCCAAGTTCTGCACACTCATTTTGTTAGTTCCTGAATAAGATTGAACTTCATCCAAGAACCTGTTGGATGTAAGGAAATGAATGGGACACAATGAGAGTGAATTTATCATGGAAAGAAAATGGGTCATTGGGAAATTTATGAACCAGATCTACATTCAAAGCTTATTGATATCTCAAAGACAAATGTAGAAAGAAAATTTTGAAAATTATTAAGGACCAAACTTGAGGGATCAATACCAAACATCTCCTCTGGCCTGGTTGGCTTGGGAGTCAGAGGAACAATACTGAGGTCCACTTAAAAGCCAGAGTACAAATTCACTTCCGGTGCCTCAGTGACACATGATGCTTACACACATGTTGTCGCAGTTCCATAATCTCCTGTCAATTTGTGAAGGGGTGGAGTCTAGCTTGTCAATCATGTGGCAGCTTGATGACCTAATTTTGAAGGCATGAAGGAAATAAATAGTTCACTGGAGGCCAGACCCACCCACACTCTGTCTGCTTGTCTTCCTGCTGACAAGACACATTGAGCTATGCTAGAGGCCTGGAGCTGAGAAACCACACCCGCGTTGAGATGCTTTCACTGCCCTGCATCCCCAAGACTTTCCACCCACTGGCCTGTGAGTTTCCTGCATTCAGCATCATTGCATGGGTGTGAGCGTCTAAAGAGGGATTTATGGACTAGTATTGAAATATGGGGTGATACTGGACTTGAGGATATGATCTGGACCGGGCTGGGACGTTTTCTTCAGGCACAATTGTTCTTTGATATAAAGTTCTCTCTTATACAAATATATATGTCTATGAATTTGTTTCTTTAGTCAACCCAGTCTTAACACACATGGCTAATTTAAGAACCATAAAGTTCATCTGGAACAATCCTTCATTTCAGAGAGGAAGAATAAAAATTTTGTAGTCTTATTTGGGAGCTACAAATTTACAGTCTATTAAAAGAAGAGATCAAGCATAGTTTTAAATGAAAACCTCTGATCTATGGATATAGAAAATCATAAAACCAGACTATTTTAATTTATTTGGTGCTAAAGACTGAGAGGTGTGGCTTGGCCTGCAGTAATATGTCCTGTTATCATCTTTCAGACTTTTTCAATCCCCAACCCCAGTTTATTTATACATGACTTTCTTTAAATTAATGGCTTTGTAATTTAACTGGTATAATAAATAGAAAATTATGAAAAAATTATGAAAAATAGGTAGCAAATGTATGTAGCACAATTATGAACTAGTCACATGCTAAATTATTAAATAATCAAACATCCTTATGATGAAAATACTATTATGATGTTCATTTTACAGAATAAGTGGCAGAACCAAGATTTGAACTCTGGTAATGTGGTTCCAGAGTTTTTGCTCTAACTAATACATCATGACGGGAAAAAGGTGTCTCGTGCCACATTGCACTTGTATATAGCTTCAAGTCAAATGAAGAATAAAAAAACCAAGTGACCATATCATTCTCATGAGATCTTAAATTAAAATCCGGCTTATATTTTGAGAGATTAGGTTTTCCTAAGTTATTTTCCCAACCTAAGATCCTATATTCTTCCTAAGCAGAGCTGTCGCTCTAAAGCATTTGGTTACATGGTTTGGAAATTTCTTCTTGGTTACATTTGCCAATGAAGTTCACATTGTCAGAGATTAGTTTTAAATTTCCTAGTTAGTCTGCTGAACCTATGAGGGAACTCTAAAAAATTCAAGGAAAAATTGAATTTAATGATAATGGGGTTTTCCATGAATTTTTGAAACCTCCTTTATATCTCATGATTGCAGAAAAAGGATGTCTGAACGCTGCAATGTGTGAAATTAAATATTCCCATTTTATTTTAAGATGACTAGGAAGCTGTCTCCTAAAGATACCCTGCTGTTAACCATGACACCAGTCATCAAACTATTCATTTAAATATGTTACATTTCAAATGTCTATACTGGATTTCTTGAACAGGAGCACAGACTTGACCCATTAGGCCTTAAGTTTATCACAGTAACTGAAAGAAATTCCACACCAATTATCCTTTTAGCATAATTGAGTTACAAATGTGATTTCAATGAATCTTAAGATAGAAGATACGTGGAAGGAAAATACAATTTATTAAATACATTTACATATTTATCATTTGAAATTATAATCTAATTTATAAACAGATGTATTTTTCTCACCATCCCACCTATTAGGACTCTTCGACACAGAGAGGGTGAGAAAATTATATAATTTCACATTAGTTGTCAATAGCGGCAGTTGGATTCCTGTGCGAGTCCTCTTATGCGCCAGCACAAATTTCTAAATGATGCTACTCTCTAGCAGCGTACCATATGTTGAAACACTAGTAAGTTCATAAGTGGAGTGGAGTCAAACTTCTAAACTTGGCTCTTCTCTCCAAGTCTTCTACCCAGTCTCTGGCGAAGGCCATCATATTTGGTAGAGGGGCAAGGAAGAAGGGGAGGGCCCTTAAGGAGCTGGATTGACACCCATTGGCAGCAATGGGCTCAAGCGTAGGAGGGGTTGTGAGGATGCCAGAGGCAGCGCAGTGTGTCTTTCTGTCGTGAATGGGGTTGCTATGGGCTGGAACCGACTCGATGGCACCTAACGACAAACAACAATCCATGTCTCTGAAGCTCCCACACAATGACTGGGTGAGACCATGCACATAGGTATGTGTAATACACTAATAACAGAGATTGGGCAGGTTTAGCTGCTACTCCCTGACTATAAGGTCATCCAACTGAGCAGGAAATTAGAGGAATCTCAGGACCATCAGAAGAGGGGCCACCAGTGAAGCATGTTCAAGCTCTCTGTCCGAAGTGGTGGAGGCTGAGGCCAGCGGCACCAGAGACTGTGGGTTGGTGACCATAGAACAGAGGCAAGAAGCCAGCCAGGCTCCAACCATAGACTAAGGCAGAGGTCATGAGTCAGAGAGGAGCATTGAAACTATGAGATGGGCCGGCTTCCTGGTCCATGGAGACTGAAGCCAAGGGAGCAAGAGGCCACGTGGCTGAAAGACTGATGACCAGAGAGAGACTTGGCTGCTGGTTGAGCAGATGTGGACTAGAGACTGTATCCTTATTCCTATCAATCCTGACTTGTGGTAACTTGTTAACTTAATAAAATCCAGAATTGTGAGTTTTGTCTGTGAATTCTGTGTGGCTATTCAAACTAATTATCAAATTCAGCAATAAAGTGGAGTGGTGTGGGAGAAACAGCAGGGGGCAACATAGAATAAAGAAGGATGGAGGGTGGAAGCATGCCCGGTCTCTGCTTCGTGGCAATAAGAATGACAGAGGAGGTCAGATATGGCCACTCATGCTCTATGTTGGAATCATTACCAATGATAAGCTTAGGAAATTTCAGTAATCATAGAAATCTTCTGAGATTACCTTGTCATAACTCTTCATTTAAAAGAGGCTAACATAGGCATTCAGAACAGTGGAACAATGTTATTCAATAGTGTATGTTCCAATAATGCCAGACTAAATAGTAAATTACTAAGCAGTAACTACCAAGCTAATTAGTAAATAGTGACTACCAAGTAAAGCAGTGTCAGGCATAGGTGTATTCCAATGAAACATTATCCATAAAGTCAGGCAGGTTGTTGCAAGCAAAGCAATTCAATGAACAGTTTTGGTTGAGTGTTTTCTTTAGCACAGCTCTTACCTGCAGATATACTTGAGGAGGTTGTAATTGACCACTGGCAAACTCTTCACCTGCTTTGCCAATTCCATAACACCCTGAGCACAAAGAAGGAAGAGAGAATAAATGTTCTCACCCTAAATGCTGGCCTTGGAATGAAAGCAAACGGGAAACAGACATTAAGTTATTGTTATTGATTTCACACATATCAGTGAAGGACCTTGTCCTGAGAAGTAGCCACCATCCCAGAGATCATTTCGAAAATATTCTCAAAGATACACCATCATTTCAAATATTTACATCAATCCCATTGAGAGAGAAACAGATTTAAATAGAAACCTTTTAATGGTTTTAACATTTGTTCACGATTGAGAAGGGAAAACAGGCTCATTTATAATGGGGTTATTTGAAAAATTTCAGCTGTGATGCAGTAAGGGTAGTGGTGGGATTCTGCCAGTTGGGAAGAACTGACACCCAATTTTGGTTGAGTTTGCCCAACCACTTGTAATCAGGGTTCTCTCTACGATGGGTGGTTAGGCATTCACCCAATGTGGAAATCAAAAATTTACACTCCTTATTCGTTTTGAATGTTCATCTGCATAACAGTATAGTCTAAGTACCTGTATGCTTGTAATATTTATTTATTCATTCATTTCATAAAACTCATTATGCTTTGGAGGAAATACTACATTTTTATGTCCTTGTTTGTGTTCATTACTTCAGTAATCAAACAGATGATGTAAAGAGAAAAAAGTGCCCAACAACCAGAGGGTGACATGCTGTCATCTGTTTCAGTTTTGTATGCCACTCCAAATTCCCGTGAGGTATTATGAGTGCATTATTATTCAATTCCTGAAAGTGTTCAAAGAGCTAAAACAATTCTTTTCGGAACAGCTGCTGTAAGTTCAGCAGTGTGAAAAGGGGTTTTTCAAAGATGAACAGAATATAATCAGAGAAGTCCTCTGTTTCTACTACCCTGTTTCCCTGAAATTAAGACACCCCCCCCAAAAAATAAGACCTACTTACAGTTTTGCCTCTCACTGAAATGTAAGGCATCCCTCCGAAAATAAGGGTTTGGATTGTTAGGATGATGTTCCAGAAGATGATGAAAGAACTGCCACTGAATAAGTGAGTAAATGTACCACAGATTGTTGTACATGGAAATAATGGTAGTAACAAGAAATTCTTGATACTGTAGGAGTCACAGTTTGTCTGGTTATGCTGGTTTGTTATGACAACTACTACCATACTGTATATAGGTAATAAATTTCCTTTTTTGTTGTTCAACAATAAATGTGTACTGTATTCTTCTTCATGGAAAAATAAGACATCCCTGAAAATAAGATGTAGTGCATCTTTGGGAGCAAAAATTAATATGTCACTGTCTTATTTTTGGGGAAACAGGGTATATCAAACACAATGATTATTTTTGTTTATTTGGCCTGCCTCTAAAGGAATGGGGTCCTAGTCTTAAAGTGAAAAGATGGTTAAGCATAAATCACAAAGCCAGTGATACTTGGATGAAAGTGAAGAAAATTGCAAGTGAGGGTTGTCAATCAAGAAGCAATATGGAAATACCTTAAATAACAGTTTTATTGTTTCTTGTCAGATATTACTTAGTTGATTTTCATTAATATTTTAAACTCTTTCTTAAAACATAACCTAGTTTTCTGTACTTATTTTACTGCTATTATTTAAGTACTAATTGTATGAAATAATACACTACCTCTCAGTTTATCTTTTTTTAAAACAAAATGTATTTAAAATGGTCATTAAGGCATTGAACTAGTTGTTAAGTGAATTTGAATCCCATCGTGGAGTATAAGGCCATGCCACCTAAAATACTGACTCATAGAAATGCTACAGAACAGAGTAGGACTGCCTCTTTGTGTGTTTGTGGCTGTAAATATTTACCAGAACAGAAAGCCTCATTTTTCTTCTGCAGATTGACTGCCTAGGATTTGAACTGTTGACCTTGTGGCCAACAGCTCACCATATCCCACCATCTTTCAAAACTCAAACTCACTGCCATCAAGTTGACTCCAACTCATAACTACTCAGACATAAGAATCATGGAGGGTTGCCCCTCTGGATTTTCAACTATGATTTTTCGTGGGTGTGGAGAGCCTCATCTTTCTCCCACAGAGCTGCTGGTGGCTTCAAACTGCTGACCTTGTGGTTAGCAGCTGGACCACTATGCTACCAGGGCTCCTTCCACCATCTTTAGAAGGACCCAAGTGATTTAGAATCCATTCAAGGGCAATTAATTAAAACAGAGACAAATAGTCAACTACTGACAAGTAAGTCTCAAGGTTGGTGATGCCTGGGACGCACCCATGTGAGTTGATGGGGGATTGGGCTGTCTTTTCATCCTGACTTTTCACAAAGGATTGATTTCTTTGATTCTTTTCATTTCAGAAATTCCTCTAAAGCATACATAGTCCCAGTAAACTTAATGAATCATCTAGTCTGATCTGTGCTTTCCCCTGTAAAATGGCATATAGGATATGTTTTAAGCATTCTTTCTTTTTTTTTTTTTTTTTAACCATAATCTTTCATTTTATTTATTTATTTATTTTTTTAATCAATTTATTGGGGCTCATACAATTCGTCACAATACATAGATCAATTGTGTAAAGCACATCTATACATTTGTTGCCCTCATCATTCCCAAAATTTTCTTGCCTCTTGGGTTCCCGGGATCCGCTCATTTTCCTTTTTTTTTTAATTTTCCCCCCCTCCCCTTCCCTTTCCCCCATGCCGGACAGTGTAATATAAGATACAATAATAATTTAAGCATTCTTTCTAACTGTCACTGAGTTCAATGGCAGCTCCTAGCCACCCTACAGAGAAGGGTAAAATGCTTCATGCGTTTCTGAGCCTGTAACTCTTGTTGGGAATAGAAAGCCACACCTTTCTCAAGAGGAGCCACTGCTGACCTTGAAAGTTAGCAGCCCAACGCATAATCCTTATGCCCGCCAGAGCTCCATCGGTTTAAGCTTTACAAAAACCCAAACAAACTCACTGCCACCGAATTGCTGCCTACTCATAGCGATCATGAATGGCAGAGAAAAACTTCCCAGAGCGTTTCAGAGACTGGAACTCTTTATGGGAGCAGAAAATGCTTTCTTTGGCAGAGCACCTGGTAGTTTCAAATTGCCAACTGAGTAGTTAGCAGTATTCATTTGCATTCATATACACACCATTTTATACCCATTTGGGATTTAAGCATTAAAAGATATATAATCTTTTTTGTCTCGGTTTTTGTGTTGAAGTTTTTTTTGGTTTTTTTTTTTGACAAGGGTGCCAAACAATTGAATAGGTGTGGGGCTAGGGGGTAGTGTCTCCAACAAATTATGCAGGGACCAGCCATCATCCACATACAAATAAATGAAGCTGGACCATTTCCAGGTAGTATATACAATAATTAACTCAAAATGTATTATTGATGTTAATAAGAGCTAAGAAAATATGAATAAATCTCTGTCACCATGGGTTAAGCAATATCATTTTAAGTATGAGGCAAAACAATCAATGAACAATCATTGGGTTTCATTAAAATCTAAAACTTCCTTGATTCAAAGGACATCATCTCAAGATAATAAAAGGATAAATCACAGAATAAGCAAACAATTTTATAATTCATAAATCTGATAAGGGATTAGAATCTAGAATATATAAATATATTTTGCAGCATGATATAGCAAGATAAATAATTCAAATTACATAAACAGATACTTTTTCCAAAGAAGATATAAAAATACCAGATAAAACTTGAAAAGAATTCAATATCATTCATTATGAAGGAAATGCAAATCAAACCATAAAAGTACACTTCATATACATTGAAATAGCTTTGATAAAAAGACATAGTAACAAATGTTGGTGATGATGGGGACAAACTGTGACTTTCACACATTGCTACAAAATGGTGTAGCTGACTGAGGGAAGTCAGTCCGTTCCTCAAAAGATCCAGTTACTATATCACACAGCAATAATACTGCTTAGAAACACTCAGGAAAAACGAAAGCATATGCTCACAAAAATGTGCACATGAACACAAAGGAATATTGTTTGAGTCACTGATATGAAGTAAGCAAACACAACATATGTTATGCACTTGGATGCAATCCTTAGGGTCGGCAGTTTGAAACCACCAGCTTGATATGTCGGAGGAAGACAAGGCTCTCTATGTCCATAAGGAGTTACCGACTCAGAACCCTACAAGAGCAGTGCTCCCCTGTTCTACAGGGGCACAAGGAGTCAGTGTGGACGTGATGATGGCAGTGAGTTTGGTCTTTGTTTTTGTTGTTGTTATATGTAAATCAGTGGTTGTTAGTGGATATCAGAGATGGGAAAGAGGAGCGATAGGGGTCTTTAATGTTAATGGTGGTCGAATAATTAGGAGAGAATAGGAATTTCAAACGAAGCATGTGATGGAAATCACTGAAATACACATGTAGAAATTGTTGAATGAGCAAAGGTTTGGTATGCATCTTCTGAACATCATAAGAAAGAGAGTATGATGGTCAGGGATTATGTCTACTAGACACTCCTGGCTAAGGGTAGGGGAGGAGCCTAAGCTACCAATCAGGATATAGCCTGATGGCACCACCTTGGGGGCTAGGCTTTTCTATAAGAGAGAGACTGCCTTTTGCCTTCTGATGGAGCTGAATATGGCCTCTGTTCTCTTGATTTCCTGTTGCGCTGCCTGCTGATCTCAGGAGCTGTCAGAGGACTTCCGAAGCTAGGCTCGTCCTGCCGATCTTATATTCATGGATGTCTGGATCTACCAACCTGCGGGACCCCCGAGCCCCTAGGTCACCCTGCCTCCTCGTCATAGCTACATGAGTCACAGAATGGCTGACTTGAACCTGACTGGACTACTTCTATAACGGTGTAAGCCATTTCTCTATATAGACCTCACTATTCAATTACATACAAGTGTCACCAGTTTTACTTCTCTAGAGAACCCAACCAAATACAGAGAGCAAGAAAGATGGAGGAAGGAAAGAAGGTAAAAAGATAACTAACCGTTTCTAGTTAGGGATGAACTTGTGCAGGGATGTTCATAACAGCATTATTTTTAATAGTCTAATGAATGGGTAAACGATGAAGTATTCTTTGGAAATAAAATGAAAAATTCTGATACATCCTGTAACATGGATAAACCTTGAAGAATTGTGTTAAGTGAAAGACGACAGTCATAAAATACCATGTATTGAATGATTCCATTTACATGAAATGTTGAGAATACACAAATCTATAGAAACAGAAGCTACATCAGTGACGTGTCAGGAGCTAGGGGTGGGGAGTGGGGAGTAGGAAATGACTGGGAGTGAATATTTCTTTCGGAGTAATGAAAATGTTTTGAAATTGTGGTGATGACTGCACTGCACAGAGAATAATATAAAATCATTTTATTTTACATTTTAAATGGCTGAATTGTACAGTATGCAAATTAGAAGTCAATCGAGCTGTTGAATGGGCTCACACGTAACAATTGTTGGCACGGGGCCCACACGTGCTTCCTTCTGCTGTACCTTGTGTTACCATGAGTCAGAGCCCACTGGAGCTCCTAACAAAAACAAACGCTGTCAGCAGAACACAAAGCAACAACAAGCAGGCAGCAGACAGACTTCTGTCCATGAGTCATAGTTTGCCTACCCTTATGCTCTAGGATTTGGGGGAGGCACAAAGTAAAATGGAGAATATGAAACAAGGTAGTCATTTTTGCCATAGAAAGTTAGGCTTGGTATAGCACCATAATTACTCATGTAGGATAGCAAAATAGTAATACATGTTAATTTCATTTTTTTTACCTACATTCTTTTTCATCTTGAGAAGAGAATTGAAAGTAGGCTGTGTGTTGTGTGCATAACTGTGTGTGATGTCAATACACAGCGTAATAGAAAACAATCTCAGAATAGGGGAAAGGGGTAATTTACAAATTTATGACTGAATTCTGGCAATCTCCCTAAATATTCAAATAAATACTCATTTGGCAATGAGTATAGAGACTTACTGCTTCTTCATCCTTGCTGAGTAGTTTGGCACAAGATAAAAAATCCTCGTATTTCGCATAAGGAATGACAGGTTCTGGAAGCTCGCGGAGATACAGCTTAAGGAGAGACGCCACTGTGTGCACATCTGTGTTGCTGTGAAGAGAGAAGCATGAAGATACTTTTTGAAGTAAACTTGTAACAATTTTCTCTTTTCCCTCATCAACTCTACATCCAAGTATAAGAATTCCATAAAGTGGGCAACTGATTGAATGAATGAATCACTCAATCAATCTGTATTTCAGGGAGTATTCACTAATAGAATGCTACTACAGGTAGGGAAGAGAGAGATGTGGATGGGTACTCTTAATCATTAGTGTGGTTTTAAAATACTTGAAAGTCTAAGCATTTTATTTTGCATAAATTTAATGTTGAAAGGTTTACATTTTGGAGAAATTGAGAACATATCAGACATTTAATAAAACAGAAATTTATTCAAATTGCTAAATCATCATAGTAGGTGAATGTATATGTGTGTATTCAATGTCAATGTTATGTGTGTATTACATGTCAATGTTAATTCTGAATCCTAACTGCCTAACTCAAAATTATGAACCGTTATTCTTGAGAAGACATTGTTGTTTTAGTTACAGACCCCCAGACACTTACTATGACATGCCATCACTCTGAGTAGAACTCATTTTGAAGACAGTTGATACCCATCATGATGGCTTATCTAATATTTGAAGAACTTTGGAAATGTTTAGAATTTCTAGAACAAGAAGGGAAATGCTACACAAATAAACTTAACATGTTCTTTGTATAACTTGTCTATTTTTTTCTAATCCTCTGCTGGATATCATTGTAACAGGGTGATTTTATGAAATGTTCATATTGTGTTCACTGAATACCCCTGTCCTTACTAACCCACAAAAATGGATTACTGTACTGATGGAGATGTTCTACACATCCCCTCCACCTCCCAAACCACCACTACCATCACACCTATGAAAGAGAGAAGAGTAAAAAAGAAGGAGAAATGGGTGATTGGAAGGGAACTGAAAGCTCCCTTGATTCATGTGAGCCAGGAAGACTGAGAGTGAACAATGTCAGAGCATTCTGGAAATAGAAGTCATGCCCACTCCCAGCCTGGGTTACAGAAGATGGCAAGTCCTTGGTGAGGAATGTACTGTTCTTGTGGTTAGTCACCCTCACGTTGGGTCTGATCTTATGCACAACAGGACTAAATACCACTCAGTCCTGTGCTAGTCTCACAAGTGTTCGTATGATTGAGCCCATTGTTGCAGCCACTGTGTCCATCTATCTTGCGGAGGGCCTTGCTTATTTCCGATGACCCTTCACCCTACCAAACATGATGTCCTCCTCCAGAAAGTGGGCTCTGCTGATAGCATGTCCAAAGTATGTGAGACTATGTAGAGACATCCTTGTTTTGAAGGAGTATTCTGGCCGTACTTCCTCTAAGACAGATGTTTTTCCTCTTGGCAGTTCCTGGTACTTTCAACATTCTTTGCCAACATGATAAATAGTTCAGATGCATCTATTTTTCTTGAGTTTTTCTTTTTCAATGTCCAACTTTCACATGCATGTAGGGTAGTTGAAAATACCATGACTTGGATCAGACTTATCTTAGTCCTCAGAGTAACATCCTTGCTTTTCAACATTTTAAATAGGTCTTGTGTAACAGATTTAGTTAGGAATGTAGGCACTGGAATTTCATACCTCAGCAAATATTCTCTGCTTCACAAAACAACATGAACTGGGACAATGGGCATCCCAGTCCTCAACTTTGTATTAACATGTTGATTTCACTGAAAATTTTCTGCACATATATACACTATTGAGAATTGCCTAGAACCCCAAGGGGCTAAAATGAGACATTATATCTATCTTGTTCATAATTTATAATCTTATGGTTATAATAATACAAATATATAAATATGAAGTTTGGTAAGTGGTAATAAAAAATGGGTGTTATAAGAAAAAGGTACTAATCTTGAAGTTTTATAAAGAAATTCTGCTTGGGTCATAATCTCAAGGTGTGTAAGCTTGGGTTTGATCTATGGACTAGAGAAACAAAACTAGAGACACTCATATATGTGTAAGAGAGAACTTTATATCAAGAAGTAATTATGCTTCAATAAAACACCCTAGCCAAGTCCAGATCAAGTCCATAAATTCTGTATTAGACCACAAGTCTGATATTAGCCCATATATTCCTCTTCAGACTCACACAGCACATGAAATGATGCTTAATGCAGGAAGATCACAGACTGGTGCATGGAGAGTCCTGTGGGTCCAATAGCAGTGGATGCCTCTCAAGGTCTCTGGCTGCCATCAGTGTGACTCCATGTGATTTGTCAACAGGAATGTGAAGCAGAGAGAGGGTGTGTCCCACTTCCAGGGAGGAAGGCAAGAAATTCCAGAATCCTCATGAGAAGGCCACACCCACAAGGAGGGATTACCAGGCAGTGACCTGATTGACAGGCTAGATCCACCCCTTCATTCTTATTTATTAAGTTGACATGAATTTGTGTAACTACCACAATGTATTAACTGAAAGCAGAGTGAGAGAAGACGGCATTTCTAATTGAATCAAGAGATGTAAATAGTGCCCAAGATGGAAGGGACCTTTGACAAAAGGCTAAGGCCAGAGCAGAATGGAATATAGTTAAGATCTGCCGACTAGGCAGCATCCTCATGGATCATAGAAATAGGGGAATGGCTGAAGTTTTCCACGTTGATGTTGGGAGTCACTTGGGATAAGCATACTGCCAGTAGCAAATTGGTAGGTGTAATTTTTAAAGACTTATTCAAATTAATTTTAACTTTTTTATTAGGAAAATATACTTTTTCTCCTCTTAAAATTCTAAATTGATAGACAAGATAGAAGAAGTCATTTAGAGAACAACTAAATACAATTCATATCTATAGCACATCTTGGAAACTGAGATAAAGATAGACCTAAAATAGTCTAGTGTTAGAAAACAAGAAGGCTCTCCTTTTCAGTTGTGTTTGGTAAACTATTCCATTTATACCCAACAAATCAGTCCATGCTTGACACTGGAGAATAATTTTCTATTTCTTTTGCTTGTAGTAAAGGCTCTGATCTCAGATAAGGCTAGTTCCTGGAAGAGGACATCATACTTGGTCGAGGGACAGCACAAAAGAGATGGACCCTCAATGAGAGGGTTGACACAGTGGCTGCACAATCGGCTCAAACATGCCCATAATTATGAGATGGCACTGGATCACGCAGTGCTCAGAGTACATACGGTTGCTTGGAGTCAGCACTGACTCAACGGTACCTAACAATTATAGTAGTTAGCAGTAACAAAACAAGTCTGTGCCAGGCTGAGGTCCTCTCAGCCCACAATCTATTTTTTTGATTTCCCTTAATTTAATCTATCTCCATGCCTAAACTGAGTTGGCTATCTTCAGAGTTCATCAAAAGATTATTATAATTTTAGGAAGATACAGAGAAGAATATAAAAATAAGACCTAATAAGTATGGTTCCTAATAAAAAAGTATTGCCAATGGGGTTGCTGTTCTTACCTACATGTATTTATTCTAAATAAAATGTGTTTAAACATGTCTCTGGGATTAGTGGATGGCTATAAATCAGTTCTCTCAGTAATATATCTGTTCTTGTTTCATTAGAGTACCTTCGAAATAAAAGGTGTAATTAAATCAGTGGCTGCTGAAAGGATCTCCTGAACTAGTTAATTCAAGACAAAGAGAGCAGCTAGGATTGCTATGGTGATTATTTAGGGGACCATGAAAGTCCCCTACCTTTTATTGAAGCACATAGGGCAATTATGGGGCAGCAACATATTGCATTAGGTAAATCTGTGCAGAAGATCTCTTTAAAGTGTTGATGAGCAAGTATGTCACTTAAGCACTAAGATGTGTCTGACTCAAGCCATGTATTGTCAATCACCTCGTGCCATGAATTAGGAAGACTGAAGAAGAATCGAGGGATTTGAATTGTGGTTTGGGTGAAGAATATCGAACGTGCAATGGACTGTCAGGAGGACAAACAAATCTAGCTGAGAAGTATAGCTAGAGGGCCCCTTGGCAGGGAGGCTGGACTTTGTCTCCTGGGCTTTGGACAAGTTGTCAGGAGAGGCCAGGCCCTGGAGAAGGACATTGTCATTGGTAAAGTGGAGAGGCAGTGAAAAAGAGGAAGACCCTCCATGAGATGGAGCGACACCGGGGGTTGCTAGGATACATTCAAACTAACAACAGTCTGTCCTCCTGTTCTCCGTGGGGGTCTCTATGCGTCTGAACTGACTCGTAGGAACCTTACAACAGCATCTGAAAGAAAACTGAAAATTGCATTGCTGAGAAATACCCACAGAATTTTCATCAAGGATTTTTCTCATTGTCACAATACACCTGCTCAAAAGCTATCTTATGTGTGTTTATGTGGGAAACCTTAAGCCATCCATCTGACAGTCCAGACATTGCCCCTTCAGCAGATTTTTGTTCCCTAAATTCAAAGAGCATTGAAAGGAACTATGGTTTTAGGTCTTCATGGATGTCACACCTGTCATTCTAACGTGGTGTAATTGAAGAGCATAGAATTCTTCAGGGAAGGGTCACAAAGATAGAAACATCGCCCTTAGAAGTGTATCGACCTGATGGAGGTTATACCAAGAAACACTGTCTTGCCTTTTGATATGTTTGTTCAAAATAGAGTTCAATTATATGTAGGAGTTCTTTCTAAGTTACCTTTATAGATTGAATAAATAATGCATAATTAGTGTAATGATCACTAAGAAGGAGCCCTGGCCGCACAGTGTTTACCTGTTGGGCTGTGATCTACAAGGTCAGCGGTTTAAAAGCACCAAGCCACTCCTCAGGAGAAAGCTGAAGCTTTCTACTCCTGTAAATAGTTACAGTCTGAGAAATCCAAAGGGCAGTTCTATCCTGTCCTACAGGGTCCCTATGGGTTGGCAATGACTCAATGGCAGCGAGTTTGGGTTTTGGTATAAATAAGATATATACAAATAATTTATAAAATACAAGAAGTGAGAGAGATAATAATGACCAAGCAAGAAATCTGCATTGTAAAAGCAATGTTTTAGTGTTTAAAAGATGACCTGTCTTCAAGCCTTTTAAGACCCCAGACGCT